ATATATATATATATATAAGGTGAAACTTTACTTCATGATAGAATGCTTTTACCCGAGCAATATTCGTCACACTACACAAGACTTAACTGAACAAGACTTTCACTGTCACATCACACAAGACTTAACTCAAGAATGGAATATGATTCCTTAGAAAACTTTTCATCCACAGGAGTAGGATTGATGAATAAAGAAATTGCTCAAAAGAAAAGGAGGCAATTGTTGTACAAATAGTTGTTCGAAGAGATGCTTAATAAAATTGCTTAAAAGATCTTACGCCATCTCTACGCCGCAGGCTTCGCGCATACGACGTAGAGAGTTACGACGTATGTGAAAACACCAGGCATTTTCCTTATATCGCTGGAAACAGCAGCGATCTTGGGGACTAGAATGCACGTGTTGATTGTATATCAGCCTTTTCATGGTTCGTATAACCAGCTATTGTCTCAGCTTTTCACGTAATATGTATCCTTTGGAGTGTGCAAGTTTACGAAGAATACATCATCTCAGCATCTGTCGCCAAAGGTGGCAATAACTCTTTCGTTGGCGTTTCTTAATCGAAATATTTAAAGTCGGTAATAATAGTACACGTAGTAAATTTGAAAAGGAGCATAATATGACACGGTAGTCTGTTTCAGACACCCTCGGTTGCCTAGTTTAGAAAGCTTCGAAAAGGAATTGTTTTAAGAATTGGTGAATTTAAAATACACTAAGATACAAGACTGTAAAATGCAGCATGCAGAGAAAAAAAAATCCGAAATGTGAAGAAATTTGTCTAAATCCATAGCAGAAAGATATATACAGACTGTTATGCAAAATAATAAAATGTAAAGGTAGGCAAGAAGAGAAAACATGGTAATAAGGCAATAATCTATTTACACAACTGAAAACTATGAAGAGCAGTGAAAAATAGTTAAATGCACCAAAGGGTAGACGGAAAAAAAGGTCCCGGAAAAAAAGGTCCCTGGAAGAAAAGGTACGGAAAAAAGGGCCCCTGGAAAAAAAAAGGTCCCGGAAGAAAAGGTCCCGGTAAAAAAGGTACCTCAATAAGGAAAATCTGAAGGGATATTTCCCTTCTCGCTTTCTGGGCAGCATGAATGCTTCTCGCTGTTTCAATGAATATTCCTTTTATCTGTAATAATTCAGATTAGATCATTGAGGTAAGGGTAAGGGGGGGGGATTATGGGCTGGTTGCATTACGCTTTTTTTTAAAATTTTATTTCATTTATTTATTCTTCTTTGATTATTTTTTAAAGCGGGAAGATACTATTTAAGCTTTTCAATAATGTTTCACTCTTTCTTTGTAATTTTTTTAAGTTAAAAATGTGTTATTTTCTATTTTAAATTATATTTTGTGAAGAAGTTGCTAATGTAAGGCTTAAAGTAGCCATTCGGGGAAGTTGGGAGGATTTATGAGTTGGATGTTTATTGACTTTGAAAACGCGCGACACACGAAAAAAAAAATAAAACGTGCACGGAGCAGCAAAAAGCTCTTCAATCTAATCTTCTCATTTCAAATATTTTCCCCTACAGAATTTTCCCTACACAGGTACCTTTCTTACCGGGACCTTTTTTTCCGGGGGCCTTTTTTTCCGTACCTTTTTTTTCGGGATCTTTTTTTCGGGTCCTTTTTTTCCGGGACCTTTTTTCCGTACCTTTTTTCCGGTACCTTTTTTCCTAGAATCGCACTAAAGTATATACAAGCTGATGCATTTGAGTTATGTTAGTTGGAGGAGGAGACCGACCTTCTCATACTATTTACAACGCCACCTAGCAGCTTGCCCATACTCTCTTTAAAACATGATGAAAAAAGTGACGAAAAAAAGCACCTGCATATTACATGCCTTTAAAAAAAAAAATGCCTTTTAATTGCTCGTGTAGAGGAGTTCTATCAACCTGTAAGGTTTTGCCGTCTTGTTCAGACTCATCCCATTTTTTATATATATTTTGCTTATTATATACTATAAATTTTATTAATCATATTAAAATTTTTTCTTTAGCCTTTTATACCTTCATAAATCGTTAGACAAATACTGTCTTTCAGTTTACACCAGATTTTTCAGTAATTTCTGCATTGTTGTCAGTTGGCATAAAAAGGCCACAAATTTTAATAAATGGAAATATATCCTCAGTGTAACGCCTTGTCTTTCATATGTGGGCAAAATATTGTCAGTTTTCAGAGTATGTATAGTTAACTACATGTATAATCTATAGTTTCATGGTTTTTGTACCAAATCAGTTTAAAGGTAAGGAATAGTTTTATTACACCTGTCTGTTATAAAGAGCTTATTCATAAACTAACGATGATAAACTGATAAATTTTATTATTATGTTGGGCAACAGATTTCAATTACCTTTATCAAAAGCTTAGAAATTAAATTTTATGTAAGCGTATTGTACCACGATTCTTCATTTCAGCCAAGCAATTCAAAATATAATTTTGAAAAAAATAATTCAGTGTGTTTAACAGAAATAAAAATTCATATGTGCTGTTAAAAGGTTAACTTAATGCAGTTAAAAGAGTTAAATCTAGTCGCTGTTTGAGTAAATTTTTTCTTTTTCTTCTAGGTGTATATATATATATATATATATATATANCATATATAGTACAAGTATACAAGTATTTATATATACTTAAGAAAAAAAATCATGATGGTTTTCCATTGATGGACCAACAAAAATATGATAGATAACGATGTACCTCGGAATTCAATGAATTTAAGAGGTATAGTGTTTACAGTGTTTGGCATATATATATCTTAATATATATATCTTAATATATGTCTATTATTATTAATTATTATTGTATATATCAAGATATATATATATCATACTCTCCCATTTTAACAAAACAAAAGTTGGTAAAATCTTCTGCAAATTTTTAAATTTGAAAATATCATAAAAACAAATAGATTTTATTGATTGGCTTACAGTAGCACCTAAAAATTACTATTTTTATCAAGGAAATGAGTGCAACATTTTTTTATTGCAATTTAATATCTTTTGCAGCTCATTAATATCGATGGGTGGCAGGATATATCGATTAATGAGATAGATTTTTTACTGTGTCTCCCTTTATTCGACTGATATCATGAGGATACGGGAGAAAAGTATTATTAGACCATTTACTGTCAGCATTTTGCTTTATGATGCTAGCCCATTGTTAATTTTAACGTTTAATTCTCATTCATACCTAAACATTTATATCTAAATTTTATATTTTACTCGTTTTTCGGTACTTTCTTTTAATATCGAGTAAATATAAATCAATATTTAAATTTTGCGGATACCTAATTCGCAAATTGTTTGTTTTATAAAATTTTCTCTAACTTAAACGTTTTTTAGGTACTGAAAAACAATAACAAAATGACTTAAACTTATTTCATCTAAACAATTTTTACAATTCTCAGCGACAAAAATTCAATTTCTAAAAGAGTTCATTCTGAAGTATTTTTCATCGGTATTTCTCTAAATCATTTTAGAGAACTTGAATCATATTAACTTCTTCTATATCGAATTGATATATGTTGTTTAAAATAGCTGTTTCTAAAATGAACTTGAGTGAGTCCATTTACTGTCAGTATTTTGCTTCATATGACAAACCCATTACTATTTTTAACGTTTAATTCTTGTTCATATCTAAACGTTTAAACTTATTTTTTACTGACTTTTCAGTCTATTCCTTAACTATCTAGTAAATATAAATTCATAATTAAATTTTTCAGATACTTAATTTGTAAATAGTTTGCTTTATGAAATCTTCGCTATTATACTTATATGTTTGCTTTTCAAAAAATTATTGAAAACAATGACAAAATAACTTCAATTTATTTCATCTAAGCAAACAATTCCTACAATAAAAGACAGCAACAATAATTCAATTCCTAAAATAGTTTATTCTGAAGTATTTTTCATCGGTATTTCGCTAAATCATTCAAGAGAACTTGAATCAATTTAACTTCTAGAATAACAAATCGATTTATGTTGTTTAAAATAGCTGTTTCTAATATAAATTTGACTTACACTGAATGTACGCAGTTCAATATGCTAAGAGAAAAGAGAGGA